AATCCACTGGTTGCTTTAAAAGCAACAAACAGGAGCCAACAACAAGCCAATGTATCAACAGTACAGAGCTCTCTGAATAAAAAAATTAAATCAAATTTTGGGAATAAAGATGAGTTTTTTAGGAGTCGGAGTCAGTCCCGGAAACGTCGCCGGAACCAAAATGAAGCTGTTCGATCGGAAAGTGATACTCGCGGAGTTGATTCTGAGGTGTTCTGTTTGTGCCCTCGCTCTTGTCTCTGCGCTTCTCATTGCTACAGATGTCGAAGTTAGAGAGATTTTCACAATTCAGAAGAAGGCTAAGTACACCGACATGAAGGCACTTGTGTAAGCTCTTAAATCAAATGAATCTCTTACAAAATTTGTGATACAGTTTGCAACTTTAGTGACTGTGTTTTGTTCTCTGAGCTCAGGTTTTTGGTGGTGGTTAATGGTATAGCCGCGGCTTATTCTTTGGTTCAAGCGGTTCGTTGCGTGGTGGGTTTGATGAAAGGAAGCGTTTTATCCAGTAAGCCTCTGGCTTTGGCCATTTTCTTTGGTGATCAGGTGAGAGTCTCTTTTAGAGTTGTTGCTCTCTCTCTGTTCTTGCTTTGGTTTGGTCAAATGTTAAAGTCTCTAAGTTTGTTGTGAATTTGTGGGTCATTGAACACGATTTGAAAAGTCGGTGCTTGAGCTATTGACAAAGTGTACCGTGGTTATGTGAGTTTCAATTTGTTTGGTAGGGTACTAGAGTTTACTGAGATTTAGGTTGGGATCTTTCAGATTTGGTCTTGAAATAAGTAAAATTCATTGCGGGTCCGTCTACCAAAAGTTATGAGAGCAAGCAAAGTACTTCGAGCTCCTTGTGTAAGATTAGTTGAAGGAAAAACGCAGTCCCAATTAATGTTAAAGATCAAGAATTGTGATGAGTGTATGTATGGAAACCTTTTGAGTTCACAAATCTTGTATAAGTGGTTTTGTCAATGACCTTGTTATGTATGTATAAGCAGGCGGTAGCGTACTTGTGTGTGGCGGGAATTGCAGCAGCGGCGCAGTCTGCGGCCTTTGCAAAGCTGGGTGAGCCAGAGCTTCAATGGATGAAGATATGCAATATGTATGGGAAGTTCTGTAACCAAGTGGGTGAAGGAATTGTGAGCGCCTTGTTAGCTAGCATTGGAATGGTTTTGATCTCTTGCATTTCGGCTTTCAGTCTCTTTCGTTTGTATGGCGGAAGCAAAACTCGGCAAAGCTCACGTTGGTGAAGGCATGTACTGGCCTTGGACCAACATTGTTTGTGGAACCATGTGTTAGTTCTCTCTGTCTCAATGTGTATACCGAGACTATTACTACTAGTACTATCATAATCTCATCTGCACTATAATCACTAAAGTTTAAGTATACCAAATCTATTGCTACTATCTTATAATCTCAGCTGCAATTAACTATTTTGCTCTTTTTAATCCTCAAACTAACCATTGTGCTTTCATTTGACACCGTGAAATCTATCTTCATATATATAAATGACTATATAAAACAACTAGGTACTTTCGAAAATTTGAGACATTTTAAATGTATTAGTAATCCATAAACTTACATTTTCCACGGAAGATAAATCAAGATCATGTCTCTACGTCACTTTTCCCAGAAGTGGCTCATGTAATAGGCACGGTCATCATCATCCATACTAACAGCTCTCTTTATTACCGGCCGCCTGTTGAGTCTCCTAGTATGCTCATCACTTTCCTCGAACTGTTGGTTGTACTTGTATTTTGTTTTAGAACTTGTGCCACTACCATCCATATATGAAATACCACATCCTTTTATCTTCTTGAACAAAAAGCGACAAGTTTCTAAGTGAAAACCATATCTTGAGCACGAACAAGGAGAAGACTCACATACCACATCTAAGGCTTGGCAAGAAAACTCAAATTCCACATTTTTGTCTTCCAAATCATTGACTTCTGTTAGAGGGAATTCAAAGTGGAACATAACCAGATGATCCATCTCGTTCGAGTTAATGTTGACATGAACCTCATGCACATGGTTTTTGCCTTTGATGTGCCAACATACCTTGATCTCTGATGAACTAAACATGGAGCAATCCTCAAGGTCTAACGAAGGAGTTGAAGGTTTGATAGCTATGACCGACCCCCTGTTATTTATCAATATGGGAGGAAGACTATCAAGGGGACTTGAGGGGGGGAAACATCATCCATGGTCTGTTATACGGATGAGACCATGGGAGAATAAGCAAGTGGGCCAGTGATGAGTTGGGCTCCGGTTAAGGTTCTTGCTAGTCATCTCAGAAGAAGACAAGAGGACAGCACCGAGGAGAGAGAAGGCAAACGGATATAAAGAGTATCACTAGCTTACGTTTACGGTCATGATTTGTTTTGTCATCTGGAGTGAGAGGGTTGTACAGAAAGAGAGTACTTTCATAGCCCCTGTTTTTGGTGTGAGCTATTTTGGTTTTATTAAGAAAGGTTACATTTTTGAAACGATTCCTATCAACTTGGTATCAGAGCCCGGTTCAATCTCAGGAAAATAGATCATGACTTACCTCCGTTATCACCGGTGACTGAAGATTCGAGAGAGGGATCGAGGGTACTGTCGGAGACGTTGTCACAGAACCCATCGGCGATCTCAGCTTTGATGACAATGATCAACAACATCAACCGACGTTTTGATGACGATGATCGCAGAAGAAAGAAGAAGGAGCAGGAAAGGGAGAGCCTTTCGACGGCAGGGAACGCTGGGTCGTCGATGAGTGCGTTTCCAGTCATCCACCGAGCGGATAAGGCTCTGATGTACACGCCTGAAGAACCGCGACCACCAGAGCGGAGGCCATATACCCAACTTTTTCTCGAAAGGAGGGTAAACGAAACACCACCAGGGAGGACCGAAACGGAGGCACAAAACCCTTTCAGCCGGAGG